AAAAAAAAAAAAAAGGAGGCAATGCAATCTATTACTTAAGTTCAGGCATCAATAGGTGACAAAAACCTCACTTGCACTACAACTTTCATACCTGACTGTTTATCTGCCATAGATGAGCTGCCATTTGCATCATGAACTATAGGTACTCCTGTATAGGTCTCTGCCTTACAGCCAACCACTGTTATTCCTCCTAATAGACTATCAGTGTCTGCAGAGCTGTTGCTGGTCATGCTTCCGCACAGCGATGACTTGTCCACTTGACTGGGATCTGCTTCTTGCGACCCTTCTTCTCCCACAGGATAGTCTGTTTCTCTAGCCCCTAAAAGGGATTAAATCATTTTGCATGCACAAAGAGATCGTGTCATCTAATTTCAAATTATACTTTCAAATTGAGCAAACTCCCCAAAACCCGAGATATGATATAAACCTATAGGTATTCAGTATATAATGAGTCTTTACCTGGTACACTAGCAATGCAAAGCACATGAGAATTGCAAACAATGAAACTGTCCAAAATATTTCCTGGTTGATTAGCATCAATAATGATAACTTTTGTAGCAGAATGTGTACTAGTACAGATCCAAACTAGACTGGATAATTCTTCCTGATGTTTCAGCTCCTTCTGCTGGTCCTGAAGGAGAATAAAGCCAGAATAGAAGTGAACAACAATAAGGAGGAGGAAGGGAAACGAAAACAATACTGCCACTAAGCTTGTATGTTCCTATATACAGAAGTATATTTAACTTATCACAATTATGTAATTTGAATGCTATTACAAAAACTAAAGTTATTTAATTGTTCTCAATGGATTTGGAAGATAAACTTATTTCATACCTGCATAGAAAACAACAGAAAATGATAAAACTGCTCGATTAGAAAGCTGATTGAGTGTAAAGCAATGCAAATGTATTTATATGCCTGCTGCCATACTCACTATCTCTACAGATTAATGTTATGTCCCAAAGCATTTCAAGCCAAAACGCAACTCTCTGCCTTTGTTTTTAATGCCTCTCATATGAGTGTGATTCAGTGTTTTGAATTCATAACATCATAAAGACAGACATTTTAAGTAAAGGGACAGGTACCAAAATAAATACATTTTTTGATGCTGGCCAGAACTTCAGTAATTGTACTGCAAGTGTTCTAATAGAAGCAACACTAATAGAAACAGCACATTGTTTTGATGCAGAACTGGTTTGTTCCTGAGATTTACCAACAGGCTGGCACACAGGAAAGAATTAAGTATTTACTACTAAAATATTTGGAAATCAATATCCCAAATACCACGTGTTAATGACTTCCTAAAAAAACTATATTCATTACTGCCAAACAACAAACTGACTACTAAAGACAATATTGACCTACAATATACTGTTAAATTGTTTAACGGTGCTAATTATTCAAAATAGAACATGATGGCAGATCTTACCTTCAGTTCTTGATCCAGTCTGTCTAAGCTACTTTGAGATCCTGTTCTCTGTTTGTTGCCATCTGCATCCACACCAGTCAGGTCATTGTAGAATACACTAGCACCAACCACAGACCCTCCATCTCGTGTTTTCCCTCCTGACAGATTCACTCCCACAGCACACCAGAGCTTCAGAAAAAAAGTACTTCAGTTGAAATAACAAAATTTGGGGGTTTTGAAAAATTAATCAGATCAACTAAAAAGACACATTGACACTTCAGTATGATATCAAATAGCAGTTCTCAGTAATCTGGTAAAGATTAAGCCAAGGCATATTTTACTGAAGCTTGAGCTCAAACACCTGTGCTTTAGAAAAAAGCTACTACATTACATAAGGAAAACAATGGAATCTTAAAAAACAAAACAACCACAAACCAGTTTTTCAAAGGTATAGTGACAACTCTAAAATCCTACCTTCATAGATGTATCTTTCTCATCTAAAGGTCTCAGGTAGACAGGTACAGGTAAGTTCTTCATCTTGTTGTCACCCTGGCCACCATTTGTCGCCTAGACAGAAAAAAAGGCAGGGAGAAAGAAATGCTTTCCTCCATAAAAAAAGAAATTTGCAAGCTTCAATTGCAAATTGGTACATATGCTTGAGAGTTTTGCTTTGTGGTTTTCTGCAGATAGACTTTTAACTGTAAAAGTCCAAATCAGGCCCAAAAAAAAAAAAAAAAAAAA